AATTCTTCCTATGACTCAGTGACTTTATATTCCTATCAGTGTAAGTCCGTGGCCTTGTGTATGTATATATTCTGCAACATTGGAAATTGATGGGCTTTATGAAACTGTTTTTTTCGTTTTTAACCTGACAGTACTTTGCTCTCTAATAACAAAATTCATTTCTGCCCTTATATCTTCTGTAGCCCACACATGTGTTAAATTCTCAATTTCAACAGCAGATGTCTCCCATGAGCTGTTTTTAGGTTTTGCTAAGGTCTCTATACCTAGAATAGTCAAATACAACTAGTAAATTGTTTATGTGCTTGCTGCTCCTAAGGGACCATTCTGAGTTCTCTTATCATAATGTGATTCTTTAAGAAGTAGGAACTAGGAAAGACTTTAGAGATGATTTTGTCTAATGCTTATTTTATAGCTGAAAATTAAATGTAATTGACTTATTTAAGGAGATGGAGTTAAATCGGGTTCTTTAATTTTTAAAGGTAGAAGCAACTTTTAGAAATCAACCAATATTCTCATTTTTTTAAGATAAGGAAATTGAATTACAAATTAGTTAACAAAATTTCCCATTATCATAAAGCTAAATGATAGAACTGAGATTCTAATAAATAGGTCTCCTGATAGACCAGTGCTTTCTGTATCATGCCTTGCAGTCAGTGGCTCTGATAGAACATTTTTATTTTCAAATTTCCTCATTTTCAGATTTCCTTATTAACTTATTAACTGTAATATTTGGGAAGTGTCTGTCCTGTCTCCTAAGACTATTACATGTTTACTGATGTGATATCATTTACTTTCTTAGTGTCTACTCCATTTTATCTTTTTTTCCCTTTAGATTTCACTTTTTAATAATGACTTTGCAGACATTTGGCTTTATTACACCATGCTTTAAGAATTTATTTCTTTTTAACCTTTTTTTTTAGGTGTATTTTTGAACATGAATACTGAAAACATGTTAGTAAACACTTATTTTTACTTCATCAACTAAGATAAAATTGTCTTTGTATAAAATTCTAGTGTATATTATGCCCTATATTCACAGAATAGTCCAGGAAGTTATAGTGTTTTCCTTATTTCCTTCTGATATTTGTGGATTGTTATTTGTTCATAATGCTTATGATAAAAGTAAAAAATTAAATTGAAAATGATTTTTGCTTAGTTAAAATGAACCTAAGACATTAATTTTTTATCTAAATAAATGTTCTTTAGTGGAACATCTAATAAATAAGTGATTATTTGGCCTATTATTATTGGTCTAGTTGGCAGACTTTATTATTATAACAGTACTATACAATACTGTTGTTGGCATTGACTGAAACTCATTTGAAAGTGAATAGAATTTGCATTATTTTAACTTGACACTAGAAAGGAAAATGAAAGAAGTCAAAAGAAGCCATTGTTCTTTATATACTTGCTAAAATTAAATTGCTATAATGAATAAATTGATAATCTGATATGGACATTTCTTAAAATTAGACAATCTTCAAGGCCCCTACTTGCTATGACTTAGGCTGTTATTAATACAATGTGAAATTAAATATTTCTCAGCATATACATTTATATGTTTTCAGATATGGGTTGATCTTGCAAGATGAGCAAGAGATTCTTGGTGCAGATACTTTTCAGATCACACAAAGTGATTCCTTGAATATAAAAATGTTGTATCATTATAGATCCTTATAATTTGAAAGAACCCTAGCAGTCAACCAGTTACCACCTAATGCATGATTTGCCTTTACAATATCTCTATTCACAGTTTTATATCAGTTTGATACATATTCTCTATATGCTGTTCTCTGTTTCTGCCTCAATATCTTTGTGTTTATGTTCTGGGTGCTGTGGCTTTTCCTTACATTATGTCTTTTTCATTTTGTTTTTCTTTTTTGAGACAGAGTCTCCCTCTGTTACCCAGGCTAGAATGCAGTGGCTTCAGCCTAACCCACAGCAACCTCAAACTCTTGGGCTCAAGTAATCCTCCTGCCTCAGCCTGCCAAATATCTGGGACTGCAGGTGCATACCACGACACCTGGCTGATTTTTTTTTCCTATTTTTAGTTTCCCAGCTAATTTTTTTCTATTTTTAGTAGAGACTGGGTCTCGCTCTTGCTCAGGATGGTCTTGAACTCCTGACCTCAAGCGGTCCTCTTGCCTTGGCCTCCCAGAATGCTAGGATTACAAGCATGAGCCACCATGCCTGCCCTCATTTTTTTTTTTAGACAGTCTTCCTCTGTTACCCGGGGTAGAGTGCCGTGGCTTCAGCCTAGCTCACAGCAGCCTCAAACTTCTGGGCTCAAGCAGTCCTTCTGCCTCAGCCTCCTGAGTAGCTGGAACTACAGGCATATGCCACCATGCCCAGCTAATTTTTCTATATATTTTTAGTTGGCCAAATACTTTCTGTTTTTAGTAGAGATGGGGGTCTCGCTCTTGCTCAGGCTGGTCTCGAACTCCTAAGCTCAAACATCCACCCGCCTCGGCCTCCTAGAGTGCTAGGATTACAGGCATGAGCCACTGTGCCTGGCCCGTCATTATTTTTTATACCTTTGTTTTCCCCTCTTTGTTAATTGACAATAATATGAAATAGAGTGAAAGTTTTTTTCAAAATTATTGTAAACAGATATAATCTGTTCCTTTGCTTTGAATAGTAAGATTACTAGAGTCCCTTTGTTAACTAGGGGTGTTTATCTGCTGAGATTTGCCTCCAAATTATAGATTTCTTTAAAGTATTTATAAAATTGAAATATCAGTTATTTATCAAAGTGGTAAAAATTTGGGGTTATGTACCTTTTCACAAATAGTGGATATTGGAGTTGTATTTCATTTTCTAGAATACTGTGAAAATATTAGAATGATCTCTCAGTTAATTGTAAGCAAGGAATTTTCTTGAGGATGTGAAGCTAAATAGTTTACAGGTATTGTGGTTAGTTTTGTAGGTGTGCATATGGTTAAGCACACAAATCTGGAGGCAGTTGTCTACAGGTAGAACTTTGGCAGTGTGATTGCCAACTCTAGTATTTAGATTTCTTGAAACAATTATGTATGTTTTTAGTTACATAAAATATAGAATGTGGAATACCATTGTGGTGATATCTGAAAACTTAATCTCATGTACCTTGGCAGAAACATAGATATTACTTAACATATGCCGAACCATTTATATTAGAGACTGGAACCAAAAAGGAGAATGATTTTTTTTTAAGGAATGTAAATTATTTTGCCTCTTATCTAAGATAACCCATGCTTACTACTACTGAAAAATCTTAGACTAATAGGAAAAAATGCCCAAAGCTTTGATGCTTTAGGAATTTATAAGATATACTCTTCCTTCGAGATGATATAGAACCAGGGAGAAAATGTAACAGATCAGCTCATGCAATACGCTGTCCAGCAATAAAAAAAATAAAATAAAATAAAAAGAATATAAAAATAATTAAATAAAATATAATTTAAAATAAAATAAATATTTTTTAAAAAAAAAGAAAATGTAACAGATCAGGATCTATGACTTAGAACCAAGTTCTAGGAAAGGATTCTGCCATTGGGAGAATATATGCCTGGTTCACTTATGCTGAGATTCTCCATAGGCAACGCATTTCTTGAGGTAATGATCCTAAGCTGAGTTGCCTGGAAGAGAACAACAGTAGAGTCATAGGTTGAGGTGTAAGTATGGGTTAACCTGAAAAGAAAAAGCTAAGATATGGACTGTCTTCACTTTAGACCCCCTTAGCCTAAATTTGCTTACCACTTATAGGAGTAGCATAAAAAAAATGTATCAAAAGTAAACAGAATTGTTTGCCATTTACTGAATGTCCCCTAGGTATCTCATCCTCATAAGAACTATATGAAATGTAGATGAGAAAACTGAGGCTCAAAGAAATTAAGTATTTCTCCTAAATTTAGTCAGCTATCCAGTAAGTGGTACAGGTTGGATTCATTCCCAGATCTAACAATGTAAAATGAAATAATGAATAAAAAATTTCGTGCCAGAAGTTCAGCTGAGTCATTTGGCAAGCACAGGCAGCTGTGATCTTAGTTTATGAGCTCACTTAAAGTTTAGATCCCCCGATTGAGGTCCTATTCTTCCGGCTTATACATGTTCATTAATATCTTTAAGGAACATAGCGTGGTTCAGGTAACCAAGAGCAATTTCATTTGCTTTTTCCTCTTCCAGTAGACCCTGCCTGCAAGTAGATGTCTCTGGTATCAGCCATTTAACAAACAGGCCTAGGCCGGGCACAGTGGCTCACGCCTGTAATCCTAGCACTTTGGGAGGCCGAGGCAGGCGGATTGCTCAAGGTCAGGAGTTCGAAACCAGCCTGAGCAAGAGCGAGACTCTGTCTCTACTATAAATAGAAAGAAATTAAGCCAGGCGTGGTGGCTCACGCCTGTAATCCTAGCACTCTGGGAGGCCGAGGCGGGCGGATTGCTCGAGGTCAGGAGTTCGAAACCAGCCTGAGCAAGAGCAAGACCCCATCTCTACTATAAATAGAAAGAAATTAATTGGCCAACTAATATATATATATAAAATTAGCCGGGCATAGTGGCGCATGCCTGTAGTCCCAGCTACTCGGGAGGCTGAGGCAGAAGGACTACTTGAGCCCAGGAGTTTGAGGTTGCTGTGAGCTAGGCTGATGCCGCGGCCGGCACTCACTCTAGCCTGGGCAACAAAGCGAGACTCTGTCTCAAAAAAAACAACAAACAGGCCTAGTTCTAAGATCCTCTTATTTTGTGTGAGATCTAACTACTATCCTACCTATCCCTTCCATCAAGACAGTTTCCTGACCAAAGGAACATTATGACTACATTTAACTATACCAAATGTAAATGGCAATCTTAAGATGTGATTATTGTTTTGTGCACTTATTTTTAGCTCTCCTTATCACTTTTGTTCTGTATCATGCCTTATAGCTGGTAAAGCCTTGAAGAAGAGGCTGTTTCTTTTGTTTTATTCTTAGCACAACTTCGCATATAATTAGGAATTAAATACATTTTATGATGACATTGATCTTTTTTTAAAGCCTAAAATTTATTGATTTATTTGATTTTATTTCATTTGAATACCTTGCCATTTAATCAAACTACTGGATTGTCCTCATTTGTAGCTGTACAAAATTATTTTCTTCATGGAGTTTTTTGTCCAAATAAGAAATTGGATAATCTTAATCCCTAACTCTTAGATTAAAGAGATGATTTTGATATATGACATAAAGTTGTTCTTTATAGGATTCTTGGTATCTTTGCCATCTCACTCATCATGTTAGATAAAAACGGTGCTGTTCTGCTATACATAACTGACTTGCTCTTCAGTTTTGTCGCCTTCATTTTCAGTGAGGAGAAGTGTATCTAGTAGAATGATTGATGAAGACTGAATGGTTGGACTTCGGAGCCTCATTGGACTCTGGTACATGGCAGGATTAATCCCATTTCGAATTCCATGTTTCATGAAAAACTTAGAGTTCTCTGCCATTGGATTCCTGAAGTAAATCTTACTTGAGCGTTTTCTACGAGTTTTTACTCTCTTTGTCACCTGGTAATTGCAGGTGATGTATCGGCCAAATGCATCCCGAAATGTCTTGTTGAAGAGGGTGTAGACCAAAGGATTCACCCCTGAGGAAACATAGCCTATCCACACAAATATCTCCAGGAGCATTTTGAGAGTAGTTTGGTCACAGGAATCACACAAAACTAAAGTTATATTTGTAATAAAAAAGGGACACCACATAAGCAAAAAGAGGAAAAACACAATCCCTAGGACCTTTGAGGCTCTCTGTTCATTGGAAATGGTCTGCACTGACTTTTTGCCAAGAGAGGACATTCTTCGCATAAGTGTTTCATCACTTGAGTTGGGCAGAGTTTTGTCCTTGCGAGAACCATCCAGCATTGCCACCTTTTCAGGTGATGAACAAGGTGTTTCATCCCTTTGGAAAACTGTAGACACAGTCAGCCATGTTAGGTGTTGAGGTGGCTTTTTTTTGACCAAGTAAGCTTTCTTCTGTAGAGCATGGATAGTGAGAAAGTAGGTGACTATCATGATCGCAAGTGGTATAAAAAAGGCAGCCAGTGAGCCAAAGAGCATGAAATTGCCAAATCGTTCCTTTGTCAGCATGCAGGTGATGTTGTTTGGGTTATCCACATCAGTCTCTATCCCTTTAATGGGGATCGGAATGGCAATGCCTAAGGAAGAGGAAAACAAGATATATTGAGTTATTTTAGGGCCTATAACTCTTAGATTCAGTCCTTTTAGATTTTATTCTAATCACTTTACACTGGTTATGGCATTGTAATTCTTGGGACCTATGATGCAGCATCTGTCAAAGCATTCATCAGTGGAAGATTTGACAGATAGAACCTAAGTAAGCATATCTGCTGTTTTTAAACAAATGAATTGGTTAGTGATTTCAGGTTTATGATGAAAGCTTACCTAAAGCTATAGTATGTCTGTGACATAGTAAGGGATGTCTTCATTTATTCTGCATTTCTCCTAATCCATTTGTGTTTTTTGATCTATCCCAGATTAAGGAAAAGGAATTCAGAAAAGAAGCTGCTTTTAGTATCCAGTGTAACTGATCTAGAGAGATTTCAGAGTACATTCATTCAGTATCTCAATTCTGAATAGATACCTATTTTATCTTTTGAGGTTACAGTTGCATTTAACAGTTTTATTTTTTGATAATTTGTGGATGTCTTTTAATCCTTTCTTTCTAACTTCTTAGGGAAAACTAAGGAAATCTTTTTAATGGTACTTAAAAATTTGAGTGTGAGAATTGTGAAATTTATTTTCAAGATTTAGAGTTCTTCTAATAGATTATAAAAGAAGTGCACCTCCTGCTAATTTTCTGATGCTTTAAATACCATGAAGTAGATATTTAAATATTTTGTTGATCAGTGAAGTAGCTTATTAGAAAGAGGAATAACACAAAGGTTAGTCCGAGTCTTTTCCCCTTGAAACGCAGACATTTTTAAAATGTCTGAATTAATCTTTAGAACCCTCTAGATTCTTGTGGTGTTTTATGAATCCAAGAGTACTTCATCATCTGCACAGCTTTTAATGGTAGCTAAAGAGCCCTTGACAAGAATATTTTCTTCAAAACCTTTCTAATGGAGACCATTCCTTTTTCTACTTTTCCTCATGTACACCACCAGAAAGGATTCTGTATATTTTGTTCTACACCAGCAGTCATCGTACTACAGCTTGAGGGCCAAATCTGGCCCACATTTAGTTTTTGTATTAATAAAAGTTTTATTGGAACACAGCCACACATATTTGTTAATTTATTATCTATGGCTGCTTTTGTTCTCCTCCAGCAGAGTTGAGTAGCTGTGACAGAAACCATATACAGCATGCAAACCAAAAATATTTACTATCTTGCCCTTTATAGAAAAAGTTAGCTGACCCCTGCTTTACTCTGTTACTTTCAGGTCATCATTTCACTGTTTTCTTTCTCCCCAGAGCACTTTCCGTTGTGAAGTCTGTTTAACCTACTTCTCCATCCTGGTCATCTCCCAGCCTCCAGGACATTTGTCCATCTTCCTCAATGGTTTCAGTACCTTGCTGTAGTCTTTCTCTTCACTGTTTCATTGCCATCATATTCCATGATTTCATCCCATTGGTGACCCTTTTAATGCCTTAATTTTATATTTTTTGAACTCTTCAACTCTAATTATTATTTGCGCTCCTGAAGCCATCCTCAAAACAATCCCATATCGAAATTTACAAACTCTGATGTTTGCCTTCCTTGTCCTGCTACTCTCCAGTATTGGAAAACTTCTTTTTATTGCTACCTTGGCCTCTAGTCTATCCATCCTTCTTTATTTTCTCACTTCATTACCACCACCACCACCCCCATTCAAGGCTCCCATTACCTTCCTATCCAGCTTGTTGGTCAATCACTATCCAACTTTCACTAGTACTTTTTATACTCATTTCTTCTTATATTTATTTTATGCTTTCTGTTGCCAGGTATTACCTAGGATAACTGTAGATACAAAAGAAGATAGTGAACTCTTCATCACTTTGTAGAATTTCAGCCTGAATTTACACCAACATCTGCATTTTCTTTTTTTCAAAGTAACCAAATTAGGACTGGTTCTACAAGACAAAGTGTGACAAGTCAAAAGAACATTGATCTTGGCCTTGGTGCTAAAAAGCTGTAAGAGTTCTTAAGCCAACTATTTAATACCTTTAGGTTTCTCTTTTTCTAATCTCTAAAAGGAAAAAGTAGATTTCTAAGATCCCTTCCAAATCTATAAATCAGGAATCTTCCTTTTTTTTCTCCCGTTTACACTTATCCCTTTGTATTAGTGTAATTTGTTTATATATCTGCCTCCCTTGGGTGCAGAAATTCTTTTTCTTAATCGTCCATGTATTCTTAGTGCCCAGCACATTATAGACACTCAGTAAAAATTTGATTAATTTATAAATTCATATTATCCAGCCATAATTTAGATATCACTTCTACCAACAGGCTGTTTGCCTTATTGGCTTGATCATATTTTACAGTTTTAAAATGTTATAATTCTCCTTAAGGATCCATTTCTCTTATTTTTTTCCCTGCCTCTGCGCTACTCCTTCCACACTACTCCTCACACTCTCCTTTTTCACCTCCCTCATTGCAGTAACTGCCCAAAACAATGTGGGTCATTTGACATGAACGACTTTATTTTCCTCTTCTTTCAAATTTTGTCACCCAGTGTCTCCCATCCCCTTTCTCTAGCTTCTTTTGCAGGGGTTGGGGGTTGGGTCTGTTCTGCTCTATAAGTCAGCCTCTTCCTTTCAAACTGGCTTTTTCTCATTGTTTTCAAATCTCTCCATTCTTAATAGACTTTTAGACTTAATAGACTTAATAGACTTTTCCTTGACCCTACTTTCTTCCCACACCGGAGAATTAACATACCTTGCTTTTACCTCCAAACTTTTTTTTCTTATCACCATAGAAACAACAGAACCTCCAAACTTTTTAAAAGAAATGTGGCCCCAGTATCATTATTTCAGGAATATAAAGGTCAATTTCAGTGTCTTTCTTGATTTTTTTGCCCCAGTGTTCTTACTCTGATTAGACAGAAGTAACATTTTTTTCTTGCCTTTCTTTTAACATTTCAGGTCTTTTAATTTTTTTCCTCTTTGAAATTTTTGTGCTAGGAAGAATTGAATTTGCTATTCAGGTCATTGTAATTGTTGCAAATCTGTTTGTTTTTCTGATATTGACTTAGAGCTTTGAATGATTTATGCTGTACTTCATGCTAAGATACTCTATTATAGCAGCTATCTTTGATCATTAAAGATGGGCACAAGGGCATAAAACAGTTTAGGAGAAATGGGCTTTCTTTTTATAAATCATTTCTGAATATTTAACATGTTTTCTTTGCATCTCAAAACTTTTGATTAAACATATTCAGAACACAAACAGACATTTAACTGCGCTTAGTCTATACACACATATGTATTGAAATGTTGGCTTCTAAGATGAATTTATGTTCTTTGATACCTGCCTACAAAAAATTGGGGGGTTTTTTGTTTGTTGGTTTTTGGGTTTTTTTCATTTGTTTGCTTTTTCTCTTTTCCTATATATCTTCTTAGATGTAATTTAAAGATACATTTTGGTTTTTGTGACTTTAATGTATTTGCAAGATTCTACCTGCTACCTAGACCTTAATGATCTATAGACAAATATGAAAACGCTTTTGTATATGAAAGTCAAAGTAGGAAGATATCTCACTGTGAAGATGATTTTTTCTGAGGACATGAACTTTGTTACTTCTTCATACTTTTACTGAGAGTATGGTTTAGAAGGTATAAGATGTAATGACGTAAAGAGCTTGTGTTAGTACATCAGTAGGCTGCTTTGATCTCTTATGCTGAGTTTCATGGGCTACCAGACCTGGTATTCTCCTAGCCAAATGGAACCAAAAGCTATATATACACCACCCACATTCTGGTATTCCCCACATACCTGTTGAAATTAGCCACACCACTGTTATCTTGATGAATGCTGTAGCCCGTGAGTTATATTGATTGGCCTGGATTGGCTTTTTGATGGCTATGTAACGATCCACTGAAATGGCACAGAGATGCATGATGGATGCAGTTGAAAAGAGAACATCAAGAAATAACCAGGCAGGACATAGAACAAGTGGGAGGGGCCACGTAGCTTCTGAAAGAAAGAAAAATAATACAAAAACATTTTTTTCTGCAAAATGGCAACCTTTAGTCTACAGTTTCTTTATTAAGTGATACATTTTTTTCTTATTCATTATTCATCTGAAATTTTATGACTTAAACCTCTATAAGATAATGTTTAACTTCAGATAATGGAGACAATAATATTAAATACAATATTTCTATAGATGGTACCTTTTAAATATATTTTCTGTTTTGTATAAGAATTACAACCCTTTTTTTCTAAGTTAGCAGCAGTTTAGAATCATTTTGATTTTGTTGATTTTTTGTAATCATTTTGATTTTTGTTGATTTCTTTGTAATCTTTTAAAAATCTGTATAATGTTTTGACTGAAACTTAACCTCGCTATTCAAATGCAATTTATTTTTAAGTTGCTATTGTATAAAAAGAAAACATTTTACCTTAAAAGGAAGCAATATGTAAAAAAGCATATTAGGAGTCTCTGTGAGGCCTAGGTTTGGGGCTCATTTCTAGCAACAACTATCAGCACAATCCTTGTTTATAGCAAACTCTCAATTGGTGAAATAATTAAGTGAAGTAATTTTTTTCCTTTTGACAGAAATAGTTCTTGAATAAAAATTGCAAAAGGAATGGCTTCAGATTATCCTGGAGAAAAGAGGATTATTATCCTTCCATCATCCATCATTCACTCCAAACACTGGAGATGTATATAAGACAGACTTTTAGTTTAAAAAGAAAATTTCAGAGTTAGACATAATACTTTATTTATTTAACAGACTTCTATAAAACACTAACTATGTACCTCATATAGTCTTAAGCACTTCAGAAATATTAGCTTTTTAAAAAATTTCATGTTTGGATGTGATATTGAATATTCTATCTACAGAGTTTTCCATAAATTTACTTACACAGGTATTCATACATATCTGAATTTAATACATTATGCATTATATTTACACACAGTACATATATGTTCACAATTTCAAACAACTGAAATTTATTTTAGAGTTCCCCCAAGAATATTTTAGTTAGAACCCACTTTTCAAAAAAAATGCATGTAGATTTTAGAACTTGTTATGAAAGCAGATTACTCCTATAGAAAACAGATGTCATACGTATGAGATTATCTGAGTTCCTTTTATGATTTGATTGTTGTATGTCCACTGATAAAATATAAATTACTTTGTCTTCTCCTGGTTATTACAAGTATATCTGACTTTGACAGGTATAAAGTGATTGGTATAATTGAAGAGAGACCAAGATAACTATGTCTGGATTGCAGGGAACCAAGAGACCCTTTAATCTTGAACTATGTAAATTCAAGGAGCCTGGGGATGGGGAGAGGTTAAAATCCCAAACCAAAAAAAAGGCCATAATTTAGGGAGTTTTTAAATAGACTTGATTATGTTATTTTCAAGAATCAAGGAGGATTTCAGTGAAAAATATTTGGACACATTACAAAAAAGGTAATAAGGGTGACAAATTCACTTTTTAATGTCTTTTATTTCCAGAGTTGGTATGTGGTGTTATTAATAGGAATATTAAAATATTTTTTCTTAGGGACAAAATAACAAAATCAGCGTGAGTTTTTATTCAAAATGAATAAATGCTTGCTTGGTACTTGGTTCCATGTTCAGCAGCTTCTTAAAAAGGGATTAAAGCATTAGGTGGAAGGAGTCATTCATACTTTTAAGTAAATTACTATAAATAAACTTTGCCTACTTGTTGAATTGAAGGTGGGAAGGGATGGAAATGGTAGATTATAGATTTATTGAGCTGGAGGGGACCTTAGAGAGATTGCTGATTTTGCATATGAGTAAGTTCGGGTACAATTAAGTCTCTGAATATAGGGGTGTGGAGGGGAGGCATTTAATGTTTATCAAAATTTAAATATGAGTTGAAAATGTTCTTTAGAACTTGCTGCTTAGTGTACTTTTCAGGTCAGAGAGTGAGGATTGGCATCACCTGGAAACTTACTAGAACTGCAGGCTCTTGGGTCTCATCTCAAACCTACTGCAACAGTCTCTGTAGTTAAGTAAGATCCCCAGGTAATTTGTATACTAATTAACATTTGAGAAAAGCAGTGCTTTGGAAGACTTTCTCAGAAGGATTGTGTGTGAGTCTTAAAGATGCATCTAGGTTTACTGTTGTAGGATAGATACTCAGAATACCTCATGGAAGGAAACTTATGGGAGGCTTCTCAAAATAAAGAGATAAAGTGTGGCATAGAAGCCTATGTTTAGAAAAATCTAATCAATTGGATTTTCTTCCACTTAGCCAAAGCCTATAGATTTTCTGTCAATGAGTAGAAAAGGACCTTGGACAAAGGCAGCTTAAAAGTAAACTAACAATCTAAGTGGAGTGAAAATAAGCACATATGATTGAGAGAGTGTTGCAGTGGAATAGAGAGGTACCGTGTTTCCCAAAAATAAGACCTACCCATGAAATAAGCCCTAGCAGGATTTCTAAGCATTTGCGCAATATAAGCCCTACCCTGAAAATAAAACCAAGTGATGGGTATGGCTACGCAGCATATCTGCACAACCCATGCATTTAGTCGCAGAGCAGTAAAGATGACGAGCAGCCCTCCTCATCTGCTCCATGAGAGCTCTATTGCTCGACATGAGAGATTGGGGCCAATGGTTCTAAAGGAAATAGAGTCGCAAGAAATTCAGGATGGAATTCAGGGTTTGGAGAGTTATGATGATGTTCCAGAAGAAGACGACATAACTATATTTGAATAAATGTAGATTGTTGTACCGTACTTTAAAAAAAAAAAAAACATCTCCTGAAAATTAAGCCCTAGGGTTTCTTCTTGAGGAAAATAAATATAAGACCCTGTCTTATTTTCGGGGAAACATGGTAGAAAAAAGTCAAGTTTAGAGCTGTAACCAGAGATATTGATCATAGTTAAGGATTAAAAGGGCAGATAATTATTGTGCTGTATCTTAGGTTTCCTTTCTTTAAATCCAGGGTCTCTCTGTATCATCTTTTAAAATGGTTTGCTTTTAGTTTAAACCTTCCTATTCAGCTAATTCTAGTTATGGATTATACTTATGAAAATTAGGCTCTGGAAAATTCTAGTTATAAATCTAGCAGCCACAAGAAAACTCTTATATAAAAAATATGTCTCTTTGGAATTTGACCATCTGACCCACATACTTTTAATTGTGGACTAAGAGGGAAAGCTTTTTAGTGCTGATTTAATTAAGCCTTATTAGCCTCGCTTTCCAACTAAATGAATTTATTTATACACTCCAATTTTGGAGCAGAAAGTGTGAATTAAATTTAATACAGATCACTAGAATTTTCTTATTTCAGTCAGTGCTTCTTATTGTTAAGAGAAATATTGAGATGTGGTATCGAATTTTCTTTAAGAAAGAACAAGACCCAGCCTGAGCAAGAGTGAGACCCCATCTCTACTAAAAATAGAAAGAGTTAATTGGCCAACTAAAAATATATAGAAAAAATTAGCCGGGCATGGTGGCACATGCCTGTAGTCCCAGCTACTTGGGAGGCTGAGGCAGAAGGATTACTTGAGCCCAGGAGTTTGAGGTTGCTGTGAGCTAGGCTGATGCCACGACACTCTAGCCCGGGCAACAGAGTGAGACTCCGTCTCAAAAAAAAAAGAAAGAATGAGACTGAGGTTTACAATTAAGAGAGATCTGTATGATTCCGGGTTTCATGAAATATTAGTGAGTAGTGTCTTACTTTCATGTTAGTTTTGTAACTAACATGAATGTAACAGGTAACTGTATTAGCAGATAATTGTATTAACTTTTTTTTTTTTTTTTTTAAATATGGAACGCTTCACGAATTTGCGTGTCATCCTTGCGCAGGGGCCATGCTAATCTTCTCTGTATCGTTCCAATTTTAGTATATGTGCTGCCGAAGCGAGCACTGTATTAACTTTTTATACAAAGAAAAACAGGCTTGTGTAATTGCCTAATAGATTCAGGCAGTCTAAGAATTTATAGAAATCGAAAACAGTTCTAGGCATTCTTGGTTCATAATAAAGGGACTTTTCCTAGTCCAACTATTTCAGTTTAAAATTATTTTTCAAGGCCGGGCGCAGTGGCTCACACCTGTAATCCTAGCACTTTGGGAGGCCGAGGTGGGTGGATTGCTTGAGGTCAGGAGTTCAAAACCAGCCTGAGCAAGAATGAGACCCCGTCTCTACTATAAATAGAAAGAAATTAATTGGCCAACTAATACATATAGAAAAAATTAGCCGGGCATGGTGGCACATGCTCTGTAGTCCCAGCTACTCGGGAGCCTAAGGCAGGAGGATCACTTGACCCCAGGAGTTTGAGGTTGCTGTGAGTAGGCTGACGCCACGGTACTCACCCTAGCCTGGACAACAAAGTGAGACTCTGTCTCAAAAAAAAAAAAATTTATTTTTCAGTTCCTATTAATTTGGTAGGTTTATAATCAGAAAAGTTTTTTCCTATTTAGAATAACTGAATAAAAGTTAAATTTGTATGATGAGACAGTTTTAACTATTTCAAAACTTTTGTTATTTTTTATTAAGAATTTTAGTTTCAGGGCCGGGCGTGGTGGCTCACGCCTGTAATCCTAGCACTTTGGGAGGCCGAGGCGGGTGGATTGCTCAAGGTCAGGAGTTCGAAACCAGCCTGAGCGAGACCCCATCTCTACCAAAAATAGAAATAAATTAATTGACCAACTAAAAATATATATACAAAAAATTAGCCAGGCATGGTGGCGCATGCCTGTAGTCCCAGCTACTCGGGAGGCTGAGGCAGTAGGATCGCTGAGCCCCAGAGATTGAGGTTGCTGTGAGCCAGGCTGACGCCACGGCACTCACTCTAGCCTGGGCAACAAAGTGAGACTTGTCTCAAAAAAAATAAAAAAAAAAAAGAATTTTAGTTTCAGAATTTATAATTACATTTATTTGTTATAATATATTATGTCCAATTTATTTCCACAAGGGCTTGAGACATTATTTAAACTTTGAAATAACCAAGTGAAACAGTTACAGATTCAAATAAAAA